GAAAGAATCACTGATCGGCTTTGTGTTGTGCCACTGTATTTATCTTGAGCTCTGCCCTGTCTCGACAACATCGATCAGCAAACACCCACATCGAGACACAGAGACATCCCCGGTCGTGAGAACATCTGCCCTTGCTCATGTACTCTGTGGAGTCTCGCTTAAACACAAATATGAGGGGCCTGCCGGATTTTGTTTCGTTTAGCCGGCCTTTTCGGTTTAGAGAGGTTGCTCAGATACAAAGAAGATACAAGGACCTTATTTATATTCCCCTTGTCAAATTAAAGAAAAAAATCGGGGGTTTCTTTATTTGTTTTTCGGTTTATCGCTGTTTTCGGATTAACCGTGCTCGGTTTAAGCGGACTCAACTGTATCTTCAAAACTGACAGCTCCATGCTTGTTGTGTATCCTAAGATTGCTGTCACCGCGTCTCAAACGATTGTGAAAGGGTGACTAAGAACTCGGCATAGACTTGAAATATAATAGTATTATCCTAGATAGGGCACTGTCATGGCCGCCGCTGTTTGCTCTCTTAAAAACAAATATTTTGCTGCGCTGGTACGCATCATGGACACGTAAATGAACAGCACAACGCGACATGTCTGGCAATAATGGGCGAGTGTGCGTTCGGACTTTCTGTCTCCTTTCCCTTTTATAGTTTTTGTTCCGAATCAAGTCACATGGAGTGCTTCTTGGTGAATTGATTATTACGTCAGAGTGTAGGATCTAGGATTTTTTAATGCTACAAATCTCTGGTGCTCGGCCCCGCCGAGGGGTAGAGAGTAGAGAGAAAGGGTTGGTGGGTGCGCCTTGCTTCCAATGAGCAGTCACGTACGTTTTTGTCTGGCCGCGACTTATGCAGATCGAGTTTGGCGCGAGTTGAAGGCATGTTCGTCTGCAGCCACGGCTTATACATGTATTATGTCCGCCATGTTTATTGCCCTGCCCGTCCCTTTGTCGTGTGCGTTTGTGTGTGTATGTGTGTGTGTGTGTGTGTGTGTGTGTGTGTGTATGTGAGTGTGTACGTGTGTCCGTGTCTGTGTGTGTGTGTGTGTGTGTGTGTTTGCGCGCGCGCGCGTGCGTGTGTGGGTGTGTTTTGTAAGGGGGGAGGAGGGGTAGACAAAAGCTATAAAAGAATAATTTAAACAAAAAAGGAAAGCCGGTATACAATGGAAGAGGAGGCAGAATGAGCGGAAGCAAAGATGTGAAAAGAATTAAAGAAAAACACATAAGTCATGCCCATGGAAGAAAGGGAACGCATTAACATAGGCGTGCACACAAACATAATATGCAAAGAATAAGAGAGAGAGAGGGAGAGAAAAAGAAGGAGAGAGAGAGAATAGAGAGAGAGAGAAAGAAAGAAAGGAAAAAAGAAAGAAAGAAAGGAAGGAA